CATTACGAAAGAGGCAGCGAAAATACGACTTCAAATGAATGAAAATTGCAAAGAAGACAGAGGTGACATCAACAACATGAAGCAAGAATCATCAACACAAGAGAGAAATTATCTAAAGGAAGTAGTCACCTGTTACACTTACACAATCTGGGCAGCATTATTTCAACAACAGGTGGTGAAGATGAGGATGTCGAAGCCAGACAAGATAAGAAAAGCAAGATAGACAGGCATGGGTGCATTACTATGAAGTTAGCGTGGAAATCTATTGCAGCAAACAAGATCTGGATTTTCAACACTTCACTAAGGTGAAGTCGGACGCCGGATGCATGAAGAAACGCATTCTCAAATGGTTAATGCGAACTTTCATCAGCATCTCCATGCCTTCATTCGATCCTGAAGATCTGATGGCCGACCAGAAAAGACTGACAACAAAAAACTCTGAGAACGAACCAACGAAACGAGCCCAACAAATATGCAGAGAAGGAAAAAGAGTTTGATTGGACACACACACCCGACCGAAAGCTGCTACCTTGACGTGGTGGTCGGGCTTGAACACCGCAATGACCCAACAAGCTATACTGGCTGGAACTTATGTTCCTGTAGGTCCTACCATGCCAGAAAGGTTGTTTGGATAGCAGTTACCCAACCCAATGCTATGACTCAAAATAAATCACAAAATATCATGCCGGATCGGTCGGGGCCCGGATTAACAACGACCGCGCTTTCTGCTGCCGTGTCACAGGGCAGAAGTGATAAATATGCTACTGAGACACACCAAATGAAAAACAACAAACAAAAACATGTCTTGTGTGACCGGCCTCAAGCAGTTGTCCCCTGGGCTCTGCGGTCACGCAACCAACTTCCACGGTGTGGGCAGCCGGGAAGTAACAATCGCCCTCACAATCCGAAATGCACGCGAAACCTCTCATTCGATAGTGAAGATCTGATGGCCGACCAGAAAAGACTGACAACAAAAAACTCTGAGAACGAACCAACGAACCGAGCCCAACAAATATGCAGAGAAGGAAAAAGAGGTTGATTGGACACACGGTGAGGAGACCGTTGACAAGGCATAACACGCTAGATATCCCAACCTTCGAGAGTGGAACCCGGATGGAAAATGACGAGTTAATCGAGGTGTGCCAAGAGTGACATGGAGGAGATATTATGTAGTGGGGAAATGAAAGCCTATGGACTGTCTTGCAGCCAGCTGAAAAGGACTGTGGAGAAGAGTGTGATCATCTAGGAACTCAGTGGAATAGTAATAATAATAATAATAATATACTGATAGTTTATTAGAATGAAGATTAGTTCTGGCTTTTGTATGGTGAAAAAGTCATCAGCTGCAACGCATCAAAAAGACGGATGGTTTGAGTCTTGGAGAGTTATAGATATAGCAAAAATATTCATTCAGACATCTATAAAACACAAAATAATCGAGCAAAGAATATTCTTTTTGATAAATTCCTCTTCCAGGCTCTACAATTATATATACATATGTTTATATACACAGAATATTTTAAATTAGTAGTCAATAACAATATTAGCGTTTTTTTAAAAATAATATCGATTTGTAAAATAAGATACAATGGAATTGCAGTTCATTAAAAATGCTCAAATAATAATAATAAATATATAATAGCGATATAAAGATATATATATATATATACATAATAATAAAGATATAAAGACGAGGAGCTTAACAATATTAAACGGTTACTAAGTGAGAATGGTTATCCTGAAAAGTTTATTGATAAGAATATGAATCTAAAACCAAAACAGCCCAAGTTACCAACAGTTCCAAAACAGGCCTTGGTCTTACAGATGCAGTTCCTAGGAGACAACACAAGTGAAATACTAACACATCGCCTTAGAAATACGGCAAAAAGAGCATTCCCTGCTGCTCAATTGTGCTGTATCTTTAAAACCACTCTTCTTCTGCGTTCGGGAATAAAAGACAAACTGCCTAATTTCGCCTCTTCCATGTGTATATACCAATTTAACTGCTCCTGTGGAGCCAGTTACATAGGCCGTACAATTAAGCGTGTTTCTCGTTGAATTTCCGAACATCACCCTGCCTGGTTAAGCAAAGGTCAAACAAAATCTATTCGTAGCGCTATTCTGGCGCATCTTGTGGATACAGAACACAAGATTGACGTTAATCATGCTTTCAGAGTCATTTGCCGCATACCTACGAATCTCAATTTCGCTTTAAGAGTTCGACTTCTAAATATTGCTGAGGCTGTGGGGATTCATATTAATAAGCCAAAAGAAGTTAGTTCAGTCATTATCATTACCTTGGCCATCCAGGTTTGAATAATCCGGAATTTTTGTGGAATTTTCCTAATTTTAGTGGATATTCTATTCGATATTATATTTTTATTATTGTTATTATAATTTAAGTATCTTTAATGAACTGTCATTGCATTGATCATACTTAACAAATCGATATTACTTTAAAAAAACGCTAATATTGTTATTAACTACTAATTTAAAATATTCTGTGTATATAAAGATGCATATATAATTGTAGAGCCTGGAAGAGGAATTTATCGAAAAGAATATTCTTTGCTCGATTATTTTGTGTTTTATAGATATTTCTGTTTCGTTGTCAGATAAGTGAAGGCGACTGCTAGAAAGTCCTAGGTGACGTAGATTTCCTGATTATCAACACTAAGCAGTAAGGCGTACCTGACTTATTTCTCCTCAGAGATTCATATTCACATCCTTAAGTGACGTTTGGGTCACTAAAGGGGACACATTAATTCTCCCGAACTTGCAGAAATGCCTTGTTAACAAGACAAGTGAAGTGTGGCGACTCGAACTGCTGCACACCGGTGCAAAGTTCTATGTTGAGACCAGACAGACAAACAGACAGTTAACAAGCACCAGTAAGCATGAAACCTTATTTTAAAGTCATCTTCCGGTCACCTTCAAACACCTTATTTTCATTTTGTTCCTTCGCGCTCCAAATGGAACATAGGGCGACAAACTACTAGAGCTTTGAAGTCTCGATAGCACAAGGTGTTTATTTTTACTTGGGTGGGATTGCTAGCCATACACACCCAAACTTATCTCTTTATCAACCATGCCTACCGGCTTAGCGAGGTTTAAGAGTGCCTCGGTCGGGGATTGAACCCCGGAACCACATGACTGGTTGGTGAAAGTGTTTACCACCGAAACACCGATAAACGATCACCTAATATAAAATTAAAAGTACAAAGGCGATCATCAATGGTCAATCACCTGAACTGGCTAATCAATATATCTTGCTCTATCTTGCTCGAGACAATGTCAGCAAACAAAATACACGAACTAAACACAGTTTCTTGCTAGTATCACCCAGAATAGATTTTTTCCATGTTCCAGGCCACACGTATTTTGTGATAAACTGCTGGTGATACGATATGAACTAGTCAGCTAGGCTTAACTGAACTTAACGACTTTGGAATCGACTTGTTACCAGGGAATAGTCTTATGGACTTAGAATATGCAGATGACATTGTCCTGTTAGGGGCGGATGCGGAAAAAATGCAGAGTCTTCTGAACACCTTAAGAAACAGCAATCTTCGTATGTTTGGCATGCGATTCGCCCCTGTAAAATGTGAGATGCTGCTACAGGACTGACTGGACTACGTCAACTCCTAGCTTAGTGATAGGGAGTGAAGTGATAGAACATGTTGACCACTTCACCTATTTGGGAAGTTGTATCAGCACCAACGGATTGATTGGTGACGAAATCTCAGCACGGATCCAAAAAGCTCGAGCTGCTTTCGCTAACTTACACCATCTCTGGCGTAGGCGTGACATCCGGCTATCAACCAAGGAACGTGTGTACTGCTCAGCAGTTCGCTCCGTCCTTCTCTATGGCTCCCAAACATGGCCAATACGAGTTGAAGACATGAAAAGGTTGACTGTTTTTGATCATAGATGTCTACGATCTCTTTCTCACGTTAGGTGGTATAATAAGGTAAATAATGTTGACGTTAGGCGTAGAGTGTTGGTTGGGAAAAGAGGGAAAATCAATCGAAGAGGCTATAAAGTTACATAGATTGAGATGGCTAGGTGACGTGCTGCGCATGCCTAACCATCGCCTCCCCCACCTCGACGGGCATTACTAGCTGACTGATATAGGTGCAGGTTGGAAAAGAGTAAGTGGTGGCCAAACAAAAACATGGCCTCATCAATCCATGAAATCCCTAACAGTTAAACTGAGTCAAGTAGGGAGGGAGATGGAGACTTCCGGGTCGGGGTCCGCCCTCGGGACTCTAAGAATCAATCAATGGCTGGAGACAATAGGTGACATGGCTCAAAATCGTTGTCAATGGCCTACGCAGATGTATTCAGTCTCTGTAATCTTCAGTCTCATATTCCTTTCTACCATTACTCATTCTGTTTCACTCACTCTTATACTTGTCAAAACTCTATTGATTCTCTTCACTCTCATTTTCTTGTCTACCTTTGTGTGCTATTTGGGACGTGGCAACTCGAACTGCTGCACTTCGATGCCAAGTTCTATGTTGAATCCAGACAGACAGATAGACAGCTAGGCTAAATTCAGTGGAGCAGGATTCGCACCCAGATCTCTTTTTTGTGTTTAGCTGAAAGTCAATTGTTTAAGCCATCATAAAAACCGTGTTTTGAATGTCAGTGGTTGAATGGTAAAGTGTGTTCACCAACTATACATGTGGGGTCTGGGACTCCATTTGCATCTCGCCTGATCGATAGTAATCACAACAAAGACGGAAGGTTGACGGTCGGTGGGGGAGGGGCGGATCTGTGAGGCTGGCTAACTAGGGGCCCTACTCTGTAAAAAGAAAAAACACAATACCACAGTTACTGCTGAAACTTCAAAATTCAAGGTCGAATCTGTATGTTCCACTCGGAATGCAAAAAAAGGATCTCGGTGATGATAGGTGGGTGAGGCCGGGGTGAGAACCAATGCATCTCACATAATAACTCCACCACGTAAATAATAATTAAGGATAGCACACACTTACCAGCAAGATTATATTCTTTAGTTAACATAATATTCAGTGCTGAATGGGTATGATTCCAATGTGTACGAATGATATTGAATAATTGATCACGTTCTGCACCCAGTAATAATACAACTGGTATATGAATATGTTTCATTAAATCATTAAAATCATTATCTCCAGACATTGCAAACAACGGACCAATTTCACTTGATGTTTCAGGTTTATTATCAACCACAATGACACCGATAGCACCAGCCTAATAAATAAGAGAGATACACATAGAAAGGAGAGAAAACAGAGAAAAACACAAAAGCTATGAATAACGCCCCAAAAACACCTTTGAAAAAAAACACTCATATCTCAGCAAGGATACAGAAGGCTCGGTTCGCATATGCCCACCGACGCCGTCTCTCGCTTGGTAGACATGATATCCCCGTCCAACTGTCGACCAAAAAAGCATGGGTACTGCTCAGCAGTCAGTTCGCTCCGTTCTCCTTTATAGCTGTGAGTGAGACCTGGCAATTGACAGTGGAAGACATGAAAAGCCTGGCTAAGCTGTCGTCTTTGATCATAGGTGCCTGCGTTCTATCTCCCGTGTGTGTTAAGTGGTATAATAGGGTGAGCAATAATGAGGTTAGGCCTCAGTCGAGTGCTAGGTAAGGAGGGAGGGGAAATCAATCGATGAGGCTGTGAAAATACATCAATTGAGATAGTTAGGAGACATGTGTTACGTATACCTAGCCATCGATCGCCTTTCTCGACAACGGGCAATGTTAGCTGACATAGGGTCAGGTAGGAAAAGAGCCAGTGGAGGTCAAACCAAAACATGACTTCATCAGTCAATGAAATCCACAACAGTTAGTTTAAGCCAGCCAGCCAGTCACGTAGGGAGGGAGGTGTAGACTTCCTAACTGGCCCTCGAGATAGTGAAAACCAATGAAGGCTGGAGACGGTTGGTGATATGGCTCAAAATCCTCGTTGTCAATGGCTGGTGCAGATGCATCCACTTCTTGTGACTTATAATACCCAATGAAATTATATTGTTCTTCGATATTACTATTCTTTTTACCTCATATCCATGTCTACCGTCTCTATTTTGCATTTCTTCTACTTTTTTTCTCTTGCTTTGTGTGCTACAAGGAGGGAGTGTGGCGACTTGAGAGAGAGAGATTAGGTGGAGATAGATCCTCAAGACGGTGTCCTTTAAGGCTTCTCCAAACTGCAGCCTCTGATAGGACATCGTCTTTAAAACTACACAGCGAGATCAATAGGCGCAAAGTTGTCGATGTGGACACGAAAGTATCACGATTGCGCCTATAATTCACTTGGGAGCAGCACAGCCTATGATTTGAGATACCTGTCCTCTGAACACCAAGCTAATCATTTATATCGCTTCATCCCCGGAGAGAGTATGTGATCATTTTCCTGAGGAAGGTGAAGCAGCATAAGGCGTAACTGGTAACTCGGGCGTGTATCCCTAACTCATGAATAGAACCCTACTTGAATGTCTCACGTGGAGGGAGCCACTGGGGAATATCGTCGATATATATACGGTGCAGAAATGTCCAGTTCAACACGGAAATGGTTATATGCGATCTGTAATGTGTTGTGCACTTCTGAGATTTTCTTGCGAGGGTTTTCATGATGCGCCGGTGGTAGTGTACCGACCATCTGAGAAGCGACTCATAAGAAAGTTGAAGTCGGACAGTGGGGCGGGGGAGGGAGATACCATCAACCACTCTGAGGAAGCGTTAAAAGGATATCTGGCACGGGGTTTCCATTTTCATTTAACAAAAGTACGTTCTACAATGTTGCTTTTTCTCTGGTTAAGGTAAAGCCTCAACAGAGAGTGTGGAAACGCCCTTCTGTCGAGGCTTGGCCCAAAAATTAACTAACTGGGTAGTAGTATTATCAGCCGTCAAATGATAAATTTGACTCTCCGCCTGGTATATAAAAAAATGAGTATTATGAATATATGGTCAATATGGTCAATTTGCCTCACTTACTTGTGCTAAATGATAAGCTTTTTCAACGAAAACACAACCACCACGACGAACAATACCAATGGAACCGAAAATGAGACCTCTACTATTTTTCATCGTTACATAACTGTCTAACGAAGGAATTGAAGTGTTCTGTTGTCCTCCAGTTGGATTCTGATTCCATATATCATATCCATCTGGTGGATAGGCATAAGCATATTCTGCAATTGGTTTACAAGCATCAATAGGCTCAACAACGCGTACAGGACCTATTAATGGTGTCCAAGCGGAATTTACAGACGACGCTTCGTCCGCCGATGCCGCTGCCGCTGATGGTGTTGACGACTGTTGACTGGATGGTAATTCTTCACCGGGGAATACACCAAAATGTGCAGGACAAGCGGTGAATTTAGTGAAACCATAACTTGGCGAACTCATGACAACTACATGACGACTTTGTACTGAAAGTTCTAAAAGAATAATAATAATAATAAAGAGAAGAGATATGAAAATAGATAAATTGCATATTGTAGGGGTCCTTCTTATGCTGAATTATGGTTTATACCTCAGATTGAAAGGTTAAATGTAAAAACTTACCCTGTTACCCAACACTATGGACGAGGCGGGTGCCGGTGGGTGGGTGGCGGGGCGGCGGCTATGGGATATCCGAACTTTAAGTTCTGAATCGACAGCATTTGAAGATTATTTATCGTTGTTTCCTTGGGTTCCAAGTGGAACACATATACGGCTTCAACAGTACATGTCCACTTCATCCTATACCCATAATCTCTCATCTCCTCCTCCTTCGCAACAGACGATCTCCTCCATGTCATCCTCAAAGTGATGGCCTACTCGTTTGTTTCCCATTCGAGGAGTCCCAGTGGAGCGATGGCCTAACATTGAGCACGATGTCCTTCGACGGTCTCCCCAGCGTGTACCCAATCCATCTCTCTATTTTCTCTTTCAATGGTTGTTAACTCCCAGCTAGATTGTACCAAAATAAATAGCTTTCTGTCGGGAGTCAGTAAATGGTCTGAGTCTAACGGTCTTAAACTGAATCCTTCTAAATGTCAAACTGTTAATTTCAGCTTAAGATGTAAACGACAGTTAAAAGAAGCCTTCGATTCTCATGACAGTTGTAAGATTGATGACAATGATATAGGAATTAAATCAGAAGTTAAGTGTCTTGGACTTATTCTCTCTTCTGATCTCTCCTGGTCTTCCTATGTCTCAGCGATCTCCAGTAAAATATTCCGCCTGACATTTTACATTAAGAAGTTAAGGCACTCGGGTATAACTCAACCCCTCCTCTTACAGTTCATTAACTCTTGCATCCTACCTATTCTTCTTTATTACTCACCCTTATTCTTTCCTGGTTTGCTTAAAAAGGACTATGTCACAATTCGTAGAATGCTGAAGACTGTCAGCAGGATGAGTGGTGTCCCAGAGGACTACATAGTTAACGTCGTTGTCGATAGGCACTTGACTTCGTACAGTAAATTTTGTCTGACTTGGAGCATCCACTTCACCCTCAGCTTTCACCTTGCTGAGGCCGAGGATCGAACCCCGGACCATGTGCATAGTCGGCGAGCGTCCTAACCGCTATACCACC